ATCAAGTTTGAATTGGTCAGATGCATGTTTAATTTGAAGATGAAAAAATGGAAAGAAAAGTCGAAAAATCCAAATTGTGAAGAAAAAAAGCAAAATTGATGAAAAATTAGCAGCAAAGAAAGGATTTGGAATTGAGATGGAAGATTCAGGATTGAATCAAATAAAACTTTGAAGAAAAGAAGATTTTGGGTAGTAGCATATCTTGACCTTTTTAAAAAAAAATTGAGCATTTGAACCTTTTGACATTGATTTGCATCATTAGCTTGTCATTGATTGATAAAGCATGTGTGTATTGGTATTTTTTTAAAAAGATATTTGCATTTCATGTGCATCATTTTAAGAAAAGACATTTTTATTTCATGTGCATCATTTTAGGAAAAGATATTTGTATTTGCATCCTTATTTTAAGAGAAGACATTTGCATCATAATGGTGTTCACCAATTTTGGAAGCATTAATGAAGAAAAAAAAAAGAGGGCAAAAACATACTTAAAAGATCAAGATAAGATGGCATAAGATGAGAGCTTTAAGCCTAATCTAGCTAGCAAAAAAGTTATTAACCCAGTGAAATCAAGATCAATCAAAGAAAATATTACGATAAATTATTTTCAAAGTTCTTAGTAGTGATATCCGAGTATTAAAGTATGAGTTACATTTTCTTGGTGGTGATATCCAAGACATTTTCAAAATCACTCAGTGGTGATATCCCAGTTTAAAGTTTGAATTTGCACTTGCATTCTCTTGGTGGTGAAATTCAAGACATTTTTAAAATCACTAGGTGGTGATATTCGAGTATTAAAAAAGTCATTTGTATTTTTTCGGTGGTGATATCCGAGTATTAAGATTTTAATTGCATATTCTTAGTGGTGATATTCGAGTGTAAATTTTGAATTTACATTTTTTTAGTGGTGATATCTGAATATTAAAGCTTGAATTGCATTTTCTTGGTGATATTCGAGTTTTCTTTGGTGACAATATCCGAAGTCATTTGCATTTTCTTGGTGGTGATATCCAAGTTTACAGTTTGAATTTACATTTGTATTCTTTCGATGGTGATATTCGAGTTTTTTTCGGTGATGATATCCAAAGACATTTGTATTTTCTCGGTGGTGATATCCGAGTTTAAAGTTTGAATTTACATTTGCATTCTCTCAGTGGTGATATCGAGTATTAAAGCTTGAATTACATTTTTTCGATGGTGATATTCGAGTTTCCTTCGATGGCGATATCCGAAGACATTTGCATCTTCCCAGTAGTGATATCTGAGTTTAAAGTTTAAATTTGCATTTGTATTCTCTCGGTGGTGATATCCGAGTATTAAAGCTTGAATTACATTTTTTCGATGGTGATATCCGAGTATTAAGATTTGAATTACATATTCTCGATGGTGATATCCGAGTTTAAATTTTGAATTTACATTTTTTCGATGGTGATATCGAGTATTAAAACTTGAATTGTATTTTCTTGATGGTGCTATTCGAGTTTCCTCCAGTGGTAATATTCGAAGTCATTTGCATCTTCTCAGTGGTGATATGCAAGTTTAAAGTTTGAATTTGCATTTGCATTCTCTTGATGGTGATATTCAAGTTTCCTTTGGTGATGATATCCAAAGTCATTTGTATATTCTCGATGGTGATATCTGAGTTTAAAGTTTGAATTTGCATTTGCATTCTCTCAGTGGTGATATATGAGTATTAAAGCTTGAATTATATTTTTTCAATGGTGATATTTGAGTTTCCTTCGGTGGGGAAATTCGAAGATATTTGCATTTTTCCGGTGGTGATATCCGAGTTTAAAGTTTGAATTTCTATATGCATTTCCTCGGTGGTGATATCTAAGTATTAAAGCTTGACTTACATTTTCTCAATGGTGATATTCGAGTTTCCTTTAATGGCAATATCTGAAGTCATTTGCATCTTTTCGATGGTGATATTCGAGATTATTTATCCTTCGATGGTGATATTCGAAGTTATTTTTTTAATAGTTTAATTTAAAGTTATTGAGCCTCTGCTATTTTTTTCAAGATAAGATTTTAAAGTTGTTGAGCATTTGCTGAGAGAAGCCCTTTTTCAGATGAGAATATTTAAAGTTGTTGAGCCTTTGCTGAGAGGAGCTTTTATCAATATAAGATTTTAAAGTTGTTAAGTCTCTATTGAGAAGAGTCATTTTTCAGATGAGAATTTTTAAAGTTGTTGAGCCTCTACTGAGAGGCGCATTTTTCAAATTCTAAATTTTCAAAAGTTGTCGAGCCTCGAGTAAGATGGGCATTTTCGATTTGATGAGAAAAGCTTTCTGATTAGTTTAAGTATATAAAAAAAAACTTTTTCGAACAAAATTGATGTCTTTGTCTTTACACTATTCCTAATTCTCAGCAATATACAAAGAGGGGTAACTGTAGACATCAAATTTATCCGAGCCTTTGAGTAGACCTTGATTCTAAAATCGGGTCTAAATTTGTCATTTTTATTTTATTTTTATTAAATAATATATATTAATAAGATAATAATATTATTATTAAATATAATAATAATACAAAAAATAGAAAAAACGAAAAAAAAATAAAAGGGTCGGTGGCAATGGGTGCCGTGCACGGCACCACTGTCACCCTCTGTTCACCCTTGCATACACTGTCACCCCTGTTTACCCCATGTTCACCCCTGCATACACTGCCACCCCTGTTTACCCATGTTCCCCCCTGCATACATTGTCACATCTCTGTTCATCCATGTGCCTTTGTTCACCAAAGGTTTATAAAGCATTAGCATTTATGCCCCATAGAAGGAGGATCCGTGCCTTTCCCAGTCACAGCCACCGCACATCTTTTTTTTTTTACAAAAAAAAAATCAAAACAGAACCAAAAAGTTTGCCAGAAACAAAAAAAATAAAAAAACACAGTTTTCCCAGTAGGGAGAACCATCAGCGCTAAGCCCCTGCAACAAAAAAAACCAAAAGAGTTAGTTTTAGTTTATAAAAAAAAAAGACGAAAAGAGATCGAAACTTTAAGCCCCAATCTATGCCAATCGAGGTTGTTCCTAGTGAAAAGGAGATCGGATCCAGAAAGAATGCGTCGAGGAGAATATTTTGGTGTATTTTAAGATTTTTCGGCACTGATGCTGGCGGTGGCGATAGGCAACCGGTGGCCAACGTGACGAACGGTGACCGGTCTAGAGAAAGGGGGTTTGAAAGTGTAAAGAGAGAGGAAAAAAAATAAGAGATTTTTTGGCTTTTATAGAAGGTTGAGATTTAAAATGACGTCATCTAAGAAAATGGCTGAAACAATGTCGTTTTACTAGAAAAGAGGATCCACGCGTGGACCAGGATTCGACCCGGGATCGCGCAAACTGAACCATCAACCCGACTCCCCTTAACCCCAAGCTTGACTGGTCCAATGAACTAAAATCGAACTGTTGAACCTGATTCGGACTGAACCTAAGTCGGACTGGCCCCAAATCACTGAACACGATTAGACCACCAGATCAATGTTGATCGAACCATTGACCGGTCTGGTTCAAGTAAAAAAATTTATTTTTTTTAAATTTTTTGATTTTTTAAAAATATTTTTTTATTACTTGAAATTTTATTATTAATATTTATGCATGTTAAAATGTTTAAAATTGCTGTAATAAATTTTTATTATTTTATAATATTGTTAAAATTTTTATAATCATGTTATTTTTAAAAATAAACCTAATAATAATACAAAATTTAAAAAATGTATGAAAAGGAAATTTTTATCCGATGATGATATTCAAAGATATTTTGAGTAGTGATACCTATAAAATCTTTAGATGAGAAGATTTTTTTTAAAATACTACCAGTGTATTGGAGTATTTATAAAATTTTTTTAATATAATAAAATTTTTTTGTTATAAAATAGTAAATAATAATTAATTAATAAATTAAGAATAAGTAATAAAAAATAAGGAAAAAAATTTTATCCGATGATGAAATTTTAAAAGTATTTTAAGTAGAGATATTTTAAGAAATCCCTAGGTGATAAATTTTTTTAAAATGTTACTAGTGTATTAGAATATTTATAAAAAATCTTTAATATAATAAAAATTCATCTTTTTTTTTTAAATAAAAATATTAATAAAAATTAAATTTCTAAATAATAAAAATAAAATGTGTGCGTTAATATATTATTATTTGCATCGCATGCACATTATAAATTTTTTACGAAAAGTAAATTTGAGCCTCCGAGGATGAGATTTTATGGTATTCCAAGAAGCAATGCCTAAGAAATCTCTAGATGAGAAATAGTTCTTTCAATGTTACCAATGTATTAGAACATTTTAAGAATTATTTCAATAAAAAGATTCAAATTTATTTTTTTCGAATAAAATTTGAATAATAAACCTTTTATAAAAAATAATTCCCAATAAATGAAAAAATCAAAGAAATTATTTTTCAAATATCGAAAATAAGACTATTTTCATTAAAATCATAAGATAACATGTTAAATAAGTGGTATCATTTTTAAACGGGCGCTGTGAGAGTACTAATATTTTCTCACATGTAACCGACTCTCAAATCTAGACTGTTTCGTAAACTATAAAATTATTTTTTTAATAAATTTTAATTAATTTTAAAATCTTATTAAAATGATAAATTTTAATAAGTAATCAATCACACATAATCAAAAAAATTGGTGATGACTTTATTTTTTTTATTTTTATTTTTAAATTCGTTGGGCGACTCGTAAACCGTTATAACACTAACACATATCAGATCTCAAAAAAGGTATTTTATAACCCGAACTTTCATTTTTGCACCAATCACTGAGATTCAGACACACCTTGACTTATTGATCCAAAGTTTTGAAACATAATGCAATATTATTCTAATGAAGCTTAAACATATAGAGAGGCTTACATAAGCAGAATAGCATCAGCAATCCATTTATTTGTAAAATTCAACAAGAATTGTTAAATAATGAGGGAAACATGTCCAATAATATCCGCATTAAGCTACAACTTAAAGTGTCTTGAAAATAATGCTCTAATTGCTATCCCACCAGAATTGTGACTGTAGGTAATTCACCACATTCTTGTCTAGCTGGAAGGCCTTGACAAGAATATCAGGATTAATAGCTGGATTGGATCCAAAGACTGCGTTTGCTATTGTTATGACACCAGGGTTTTGGCTACTTAAACCAGCAAAGGCAACAGCATTAGTTTTCCTCCCATTGAATAGGAAGTGAATGAGACCAACTGGGAAAACAAAACATCTCCAGGGTTGAGGACTTTGGTGATGAGATGGTTCTCTGATGTAACAAAACCAACATAGAGTGCACCCTCCATGACGACTAGGATCCCAGTGGCACGACGATGAGTGAGGAAGGTTTAAACCGCCATAAGGTGCAAAGTCAATTCGAACCAGAGATATGCCAAGAGTGTTAAGTCCTGGTATATGTTCAACATTGACAGGGTTAACTTTTGATCCTATTTGATTCGATGTGTTTCCTGGCATGTTGAGTCCTGAAAAGAAGAAGTCTTCTGCTTTGGCAAGTTTAGTCCTTGAGAACTTCCCATTAACAAACACCGCAGGATTGAAAAATATGCTAGTTGCTACCATACTAGTAAAAAATATGTAAAATTTCGTAACTGATAAAAAAATATTATATATATTTATATAACTTTGCTACTTGCAGAGTTGCTTAATTTTAGGCACATATTTGAAGCATAAGTTTAAGAAATAATTAAAGAGAAAAACAAAACATACCACCATCCTTGGGCTCATTGATGGCTATGCGGAAGTCCTAGAGAGGGCCAGGATCATATGCATAAGCAAATGAGGAAACCAGAGCCAACAGAGAAAATGCTAGGAGGAGATGAGCACCTTTCATTATGATAATTTGACTTCTAGCTTATATTCTTCCAAGTTTCATTTGCTTGGAAGGGATGAGAAACTTTACCGGAGAACATGCCTATTTATAGAATGGGGTCTTTGAACTAGTTTATGCCCTATCATTTTCAAGAAGAACTAAGTCGGCTGCAATTTCTTTTTTCCTTTTAAATTTCTGATGAATTGTGCTTCATCTACTACCCATGTCTCTTCTCTTCACCGAGTTGCCTCTTCCCAGGCTTGCATCAGTCGTTTTCTCATGGAAACAGTCATTTCTGTCATTAAACTATGTCTTTTATGCTACTTAATACAACTTGAGCCATCTTGTGGACTTTAGCACAAATAGAAGGTTGCCAATTAAGGCTGCGGGCACTCCAGGTCATATAAGATACAATTAAAAATAAAGTTGACAATAATCCTTGTTAAAAGCCTTTGTCCGTACCTTAATAAATGTTATTAATAGTATCTACTACACTTGACTGTACCGGCTCTATCATCTTTGAAGTTTAATGACAGTATAGGTGCTTTGTGATATTTATCTGATCAGGGCCAATTAAATTTTTATTTAAAATGTTAAAGAGACTTTCATTGTGGTTTTATCTTCTTTTTTTTTTTTTAAATAATTATAATTCAGGAATAAAGGAAGAAGTTGCAGTCGTTGAAATTTAAACTCTTGTCTATTGATTAACATCTTTTAAAAATAAGTATATGAACTAACTGATCTTAGCTTCGGTTTCATTGTGAGTTTATCGCCACTTTCATTTCAGAGTGATTAATACTGAAACTTGTTCTCTTTCTTTTTTTTTTCCTTCATTTCTTCTCCTTTTGTTATTCTTATTATTCACTATTTTAATTATAAAAATAATGATTTCGAGGAGTTGATGCTGCAGGCCGGCTAATGAACCTCTCCCGGAAATTAATTAATGAATTCAAAAAAATAGCATGCATGACTTAAGAAGTAGTCATGCAAGAACGATTCAGTCAGATTTTTTATTTGGTAAATGTTATCTGTTTTCTTTTTTTTTTTTCTCTCTCTCAAAAGAATAATTAAAGAATGACAATTGAATAGACCTGTTCAATGAGTGATGTCTATAAAATGGCATGCTCTTGAAAAGAAGAAAATGATAATTTTAGTGTAATAATTTGTGTTTTATAACGAGACTTAAAGTTTATTTATACTTAGATAAAATATTATAAAATAAAAAATATAATAAATAGAAATAATAATTAAATTAATTTTTATAATCAATTAAATTAATATTTAATATTTTTTAAATTAATATCAAATCAATATCTAATATTTTTCAAATCAATATCAAATCAATTTAAATATTACTATAATAATATTATCAATTTAAAATATTATCAAAATATTACTAGAATATCATTAACATCCCCGTAAACTCAAGATGGTATGAGAAAAAGTCTTATCATCATTTAACAAGTTATGAAACTTAATTTTTGTATATTCAGTCATATTGTTAGACCTGAAGATTTTATTTTTCTAGAAAATTGAGTTTGTATCATATTATTGAATTCACGAAAAATTCATAAAAATTTAATTCTTTGTTTGAATAAATATATCCAAGTTTAATGAGAAAAATCATCAATAAATATAACAAAGTAACGTGAACCTCTTAAGATAAATGTGGGAGTTGGACATCAAATATCATAATGGACTAAATAAAAAAGAGCAAATAAAATAGAATCATTTTTATTAAATGGTAAAGCACTTTGCTTTCCAATTGACAAGATAAACAATCAAAAATATTATGAGAAACACTAGTAGAAGCAAGTGACTTTATTCGAGAAATAGATGCATGTTATAGCCTAAAATGCCATAAATCTAAAGAAATTGAAGAGTTAGTTGTTTGAGATGTAGCAGTAGTAATCAAATGTTGTGAAATTTTCAAAGTTTCAAACTCAAATAGTGTTGCAACCTTACGCCCTATCACAATTTTCTGATATGTTTGAGGATCTTGCACAATACAACTATATCGTTGTCACAAAATTGGACAATAGAAAGAAAATTTAAGGTAAAATTAAGAACAAGGTAAGTGTAAAATATACATAATTTTGAGGTTTCAATATTACCAATGTAGCTAGCTTTTAAAATAGATCCATTTGTTGTTTTAATGATTGGACCATTAGGTACAGGTATCTTGCTTTTGAACAAAGAAAGATTAGCAGTTATATGATTTTCACAGATAGTATCAAATAACCTAACATTACCTGATGTAGTAGCAAGCATGGTAAGAACATGAGATCGAGATAATACTTAATTGAGCAAAGTTTAAAAATCAGTGGTGGAGATTGTAATGATCTCAGAAGAAAACTCAGAAGTGTTTGATTCAGTAGTTGTTATCGTAACAGTCTTGTTGGTTCGAGAATCATGAATTAGACTACTATTACAATGATATTTAGCTCTACATTTCTAAATGAGATGATTAGTCCTCTCACATTGTGAACAAAACTTGTGAAAAGTAGAGTTAGTACTTTTTTGAGAAGCAACAACAATAATTGTATCAGCATTATGAATCTAACTCACACCCAACTGAGTTTCCTCAGATATCAATTCCATAAAGATATTATCCATAGTTGGTAAGGGATATTGACACAAAAATGAAAATATGAAATTCTCAAATTCATCTCAAAGTGACATTAAAAATTGAATAAGACAAATTTGATTTCGATAAGTAATAAAATTACCAACATCACTTTCATCATTGTATTCCGGCTTAGAATTTTTAAGTATATCCCATAAATATTGCATTTTAGAATAAAAATCATCAATTGACTAACTTGGATCTTAACGAAGACAAGATAAAGTGATCAAAATATTATATTGATGAGCAAGGGTAATATAACTGTATCGTATGGCAATAAAATTATAAACATCTTTAACAAGTTCAAATCACCCAAAATGTAAATTGATAGAAGAAATAATGGTGTTAGTGAACCAAGACAAAATTTGGCGATACTTACTTTTCCATTCCTTTAGATGATCTGCAAATTTATCATCGGATTTTTTTTTTTTTTTTTGATGCTTTGCATTCTCCAATAACAATAAGTCATAATTTCATTTCTCTTAGATAACTATGTATAGTCGTAGCCCACTTATTGTAGTTATTTCCATCAAGGATAATTGAAATTAATTGTATATTTTTTCATTGAATACCTACCATTAAGCTCTTGAAGAAAAAAATGAAATGGAAATGTGAGAAGTTATGAATATTGACATAAAAGATTAATCTTAAAGATAAGAAGAGAAACAAAAAAAAATTGAAGTGTGAAAGCAAAAATTAATTTAAAAATGAAAATTAAGTAAAGATGAGAACAAGCTAATATTAGTTATTACAAGGTGATTCACCTTCAGAATGAATCATGAAATCGCTTTGATACCATGAAAAGAAGAAAATTATGAAAATTTTATTGTAATGACTTGTGTTTTATAATGAGGTTTAAAGTTTATTTATATAAAAGTAAAATATTACAAAATAAAAAATACAATAAATAGAAATAATAACTAAATTAATTCTTATAATTAACTAAATCAATATCTAATATTCTTTAAATCAATATTAAATCAATTTAGAATATTACTAAAATATTACTAAATAATATCATCAATCTAAATTATTAATCAAAATATTATTAAAATATCATTAACAGTTCTCACAAGCCAGATTTCTCACTCGTCACCATGCAACAAAACATAGAACAATTTAATCAAGAAAGCTGCTTTACAACAATAAAAGGTGTTCATTTCCAGTGTAGCGTTTGTCCTGTTGGCTCTGCCTTACAACAATAAAGGTTTGCTTTTTCTAATTTCTCAGGATCATGCTTGCTAGTTGCTGTTTGCTTGCCAAGAAAATGGTACAAGGAAAAAGATCTTTAGATTCTTGCATATATTCTGTACCGATGGTAATGAATTTAGGGGGATATAGAGAAGAAACAAACTTCAGAAATTTTGACTAATTGAGATGATTGGTTTTTATCTATTTAGCTTGCATTTTGATAGTGATGTTAACATGTCAAGTTTGTTGTTATATGATGACGGTGAGGATTCATTGCTTGTGGTCTTCCATAAATTATAAAGACAGGATCATTTTGTTATAATTATTTTTATTATAATTTTACAATTATTCAATCACAAAAAAAATTAAATAGAATCAATCACTTATAAATACAACTTTCAAAAAATATTTTGATTTCCTACATAATTTTAAAATTTGATTGATTAATTATAGTATAATTATTATAAATAATACACATAGACTGAACAAAAATTTTAAAAAAATAAAGATTTAATATCAAAAGACATGCATGTCAAGCACATTGTTTAATTTAGGATTCCCTTTAGAATCAAAATCAATAAAAAAGAATACATAATTTAGATCCAATCAATCGCTGGTTAACAAATTAAGGAAAAGAAATTAAAGGGGAAATCTCATTTGTCCCCTATACCTATTCATCTCCATGATGATTAATTACAAACAACTATTGGGTCGAACTAAATCAAATGCTTTCCCAACCACATTGCTACAAGATGATTGAGCAGCTTTGTTCAAGTATGTCAAATTCACATTTTGCAATTTTATTCCGGTGCATGGATTTTTGACACTACAATCAAATTTTATAGCAATTGGTGTGGATGATGTTCCTCGAATATCTTCATATATGATATCTTTAATTTTTATTCCCGATACCTACATTTGTTGAAAGGAAAAAAGAACATTAATTAAAGATAATAAGCAAATATAATCCAATCAAAAATTATAAAAAAAATTTATACCTGATCGGGACAATTAAGGTTGTGAGGGCAATAATTCTGGTCAATTACAATGGGATTTTGCACATTTCTCATCACGGAGTTCATAAACCGAACCCCTTGAACAAATCCACTACTAGGCCTAGCCCATGACTTGATCCTCAGCCCATTTTGGGTACCTGAAAATGTTGTCTTCCACACTGTTACATTTTGGACCCCTTTCTCTTTCAAATCCTTGCCTAAACTTCCAATGCTGGAAAGTGCAAATCAACCAATATCAGTAACAAAATCATGGTTTCAAAAATCAGAAAAAATAACGCATGGAATTTATTAAAACCATATGTGGAACCTAATGCCATGACCAGGGCCGCAAGTGACTTGTTCGATCCATAAATTCTGGGTATCAGGGCCAATTGAGATGCAGTCATCTCCAGTTTTGATGGAGCATTTTATGATTTCCACATTTCTGGATAACTGGACATGTATGCCATCGGTGTTGGGGCTATTACCCGCCGCAATTATCTTAACCCCCTGGACGTGCACATTTTCGCAGCCATTGATCACAATGTGAAACAATTGGCTGTTTAATGACATTAATCCACGGATCTTGATGTTGTTGGAGTTGGTAAAACTCAACGTCTGCTCTCACACACAAATGAAAATTACCCAAGTCAATTTACAAAACATTCATAATTATGATATACGATGATAAAGGGTGTTTTTTTTTTTTTTATTGTGTAGTTCAAAATCAAAAGCCAAAAAGAGCTTGCCATTGAAAAATGAATATTGAAACAAGTACCGTGGCTCCGGAAGGACAGTTGCTGTGGGAAGCTTTGCAATCCCAGAGGGATGGTCCTTTGGCATCAAGTGCACCACCGATGATAGAAACATCGCTTACTCCTTCAAAGCTAAGCCAATTGGTAGATTTGCCTAGTACTTGATAATCTACAGGTGCCACCAGGTTGCCATCAATTCTTATAGTGATTTGAGGGCTTTTGCAGTCTCCTTGGAATGCCACAGAACCAAGCAAATATCGCCCTTTTGGTACATATATCATGGTTGAGTCTGCTGAGCCACAGGCTGCGTCCCATGCTTTCAGAAAAGCATTGGTGGAGTCTGTTTTGCCATTTGGTTTAGCCCCAAAGTTTAACACATTATAATTTGTTGTTGCAGATGTTGAATTCACTATGCCTAAAATGACAAAGAGAATCAGAATAATTCCATGAAGAGGACTAGTAAGCTTCATCATTTTCAACATTTTTTGCTCCAGAGAAAATTGAAAAATGGAATTATAGAGAAAATTGAATGAGCAAGCTGAAACTGAAGCTGTATTGTCAATTAGCTGATTGGATATTTATACTTGTAGATGTTGAGGAAGAACAGGAAAGTTGTGGTTTTGGAATTTAGATAAAGACTATAAAAAGAGTGTAATTGTCAAAGTGTAGGATTAAAGAAAGCAGCGATGGCAGAAACCAAAGCATCTTTCTATGTTTGTATGAAATACAGTGTACTCTGCGCAGCTTGCTTGACTCCAACTTCACAGGCAATTAAACACATACATGCAAACCCATTTGTGTTGAGACATTCCTAATTCTTTATTATGGAGCAGTCAATTCATGGTAATTACTTGCATACAAATTAAACAAATTAGTTTTTATAGAAATTAAGGCATTTCTCACAGCTATGTCTATGTATGCTATGTTCCATGGATTCCAGAATATGCCATGTTTTTTTTATATTTTTTCACATTACTTTTGAAGATACAAGCATTCATACCGGTTTGATCATAATGAGGTGTGCATAAAGTATGAAACAATTAGGAAACATAATAGAGTAGTTAAAACTGAAGGTTGATGGTAGAAATTAGATACAGTAATTTATGTAATTTAATATCAAATATATATAATATAAAAATTATTATATCAAATTTGTATTGATAGTCAATTTTAAAAATATTTTTTAATTTTTATCAAATTCATACATTTTAAAAATTTTAAATAGTGTAATTTTTATATTTTTTTATTATTTATGTATTATATAACCGTTGTATGATGTTTAAAATTACACGAGACACTGAAAATCTACAGTGAAAACTATTAGAAAGGGTTGACAGCACTCTTTTGAAGTGAACACTCATGATGAATCAATTATTACTGCTATATAACATATGGAAAAGCCTAAATTTCAGGTAGTAAACAAAAGTAGCAATAAATCACCGACAAGAATGATGCATTACCCAATAACAAAATGATTGCCCCAAATTTTCATGATATGATGACATACAGACGAAAAGGATATAAAGAAAACCACAATCAAATAACACAATGTTCAGAATTTTCCATTTCGTTTTTCTTTTCTAACAAAAATTATCAAAATCATCTCCAGAGGTACCATTATTAAATTTTGAAATAAATGGAGTGAGATTTATTTAATAGAAGAAGGGTTTTTTTTTTTTTCGGATTTGTAATTCAATTTTTTTTTTTTATATTTGAAATTGTTAAAAATTAAATTTAATCACTAGAGTTTAAAATTTTTAAAAATATATAATCAAAATCTGCAATTACAGGATGATCTGGGGTTTTATCTACCAACAACTAATTTTTTTTTCTCAAAAACTGGATATAAATTTTATAAAAAAAAAATGTGATTATCATAAATCAAAAGGTAGTTTATTTAATTGGTATCATTTATCGAGTATATAAAAATGATTGTGAAGAATAAAAAAAGAAATGAGAGTAAAGGCAGGCCGTTAACTTCATGTTGAATCAATGTGAAGCCTGTTTTAATTTGCTTCAATATGCATGCTAGCTTTGTACTCTAAATATTCCTGTTGTTGGCAGCTTAGAAATTTGCCTTCATTCTCACGGATTCATTTCTTTTTCCCTCACCATTTTCTTCTTATATTTTTGTATCCAAATGTTTATTTTCCAATCACTTTAAAAAAATTTATATGGAACAGTCATTATACATAGTTATATATCCCTTTTGTTATCAAATCATATCACATAATCATATTATTAAAAAAATTATTTATTTATTACATATCACATGTTATAATTAAATAATAATATTTATTTTAATAAATTTATATATAATGTGTAATATATAATTAATTGTTTTAAGTATTAATATAATTATTAAATGACATAATTCAAATAAAAATAATATATATTAACTTCTATGACCATTTCATACAATTTTTTCCCAATCACCTTAATCATTTATCTAACTCTCGAACTTAACGCCTTAAATTAAGAATAAAACAACCATAGAACCACGGCACGAAGGACATAACTCCACAATTTTTCCATGCGGCGGATTATCATATCTTGCTAAACAAAAATGGCGGAATTTCTTACTTTAGGGGGATGGTGGAATCTTTGACTATGAAGGTTGATTACTTTAGGTTTTTCCAATTACTTTTGAGGGTCAACAATTTGTTTAATCATTACTGTAATTCATCAATTAAGATGTAAATTACTCATAGTGATCAGCTTCCTTAATCGTGACGGATCCTTTTTTTTTTTTTTTTGTGTGTTCATTTATATAATAAATATAAAAGATTACCGAATAAATACTAATTCTGTCAACAGAAAAATATTCAAAATTTTTTTGAGGTATTCAAGAGAAAATTTTATTTTTTTTATTTTTTAATTCTTGGGTGTCAATAAATACCCCAATGATGTACATGCATCCGCCCTGCTCTTTGATGGATTATTTATGAGATAACAAAATGTATTAAGCCCTTAAATTCCGTACCACACCTGCGTGTACTTTGTTAATGAACTTGCAAAGATTATGGTACCTTCTTCCTTAAAAATATATAGCTTGAAGCAAAATTAAGTAAATCAATACTTGCTTCGACCCACCCATCTCAACTGCTTGCATTTAGATTTTAGAATACAAGCTAAAGTTTGTTTGTTTAGCCCATTTTAGTGTTTGATTTCTTATACTTATAATCATACTAATCATCAAAATTGAATCGAAATAATGATTCATTCAACACTTAAGGTTTCGAATCAAATAGTTCAGTTTCAGCAAGTTGAGTTAATAAAAATAGTTTTGAAATATTATAAATAACATTACAGATTTATAAATATTTTATGTAAATATACATATATATTTTCTATATATATATATATATATATATATAAAAGAGATCTATTTATATCAATATAAGTGTTACATTTTTTTTTACTCTTAAATCTAAATAATTAGTTGTAAGTGTTAAAATTTAATTTTGATTAGGGTCACTTTGATTAAAATAGTTAAATGTAAGTGTTATGGATTTAATTTTGATTTAAAAATAAAAAAATGTAACTCTTACATTAATATAAGGGGATTCTTACCATATATATGTATATATCATTAATTCTTTTTCTTGTTTGATTTTAGTTGCATATAATATGGTGCTCAAAATGAAGAAATATCAAGTTATATAAGATAATTTTTTCTAGGAAAAATTATAACTAGGGGAGGAGTACTTTAAGTCTTGGTCAAGATTAATTTTTGTTATAGTTTTGGGAAAAGTCATTTTAGCGTGGAGTGGATCACTGCAATTATTCACAATTTCATGGCTTGTATTTTAAGGGGGAGTCAATCACATGACCAAACTTCTAATATGCAGTTTCCACCCAAATTTCCTGACTTTAACTCAATGAAGAAAACATTCACTGAGAACCAGCAACAAGTCTTTAGATATTTGTAAAAGCTTCAATCATGTCCACACAACAATTATACCATTACTACTTGGAAAAATTAGTCTTTGGTCAAGATTTTGAATGTAAAATTAATAGGACAAACCATTTAATATGCTCCTCACGTGATAGAAGATTTGGAAGGGAAACGGGGGTGGGTCCATGTTTTTAGAAAATAAAAAATTTTTAATTTTCTCTTGGACATCTCCAAAAAAAAAATAATTTAAGACATCTCCAAAATTTTAATCTGTACACTACTAAATCATAAAAAAGAATGAGAAGAATGTATATGGAAAAAAAAAAAAGTATTTGTTAGTATTAAGAATGATGCAAGTAAGTTTTTTTTTTAAATATGAAAACTCATCGTGGATAATGCTAATAATATAGCATTATATTATTTTAAATTTTTTATTTTAAATTTTTTAAATTATAAGCGAGTATTTTTGAAAAAAAAAAATCTAAACCCTTCATTGAAAAAATGAAGGGAAAAGAAAGGGAGGGGAAAGGAGAAACTCAATGCTATATAATACTTAAACAAAGTACAAAAACCATATCAAGGAAAAGATAAATGAAGTTCATAAGTAGTATTATTCAATAAGTCCTTGAATGTTATAAACTTAATACTATATTCTTATATATGGAAAAGAAATTCTTTGAAGACATTAAAAAACTACAATCAGTAACGAAGGATCTCAAGTAGTAGGAACCTCTGTTCTCTAGAACAATTCAACACAATTAATCCAAATGAGCTCAAATAAATTAGGACATTGTTTCCAAGGAAATAGCCTACAAGGTTAAAATTTGAGATTTACAACTTAGAAATGTTGAGTTTGAATCTTTAGAAGAATGAGGTAAGCAAAGACTACTTTTTATCAAGCATATAATCAGAGGAGGTAAATGGGTATGTTTGATTATGATTGGATTAGGTCATTTTAGATTAGATTATTTCAACTTAAAAAATTGATTTATTTCGATAATTTTGAGTTTGGATTATTTCGTGTTCAATTCATTTTATATCTTAATCTTTTGAGTTTGATATTAGAATTATTCAGATTCAAATAATTGGATTTGAGTTATTTCAATTTTTGAAGTATTGACTTCTAAAGCTAAATTAATATAACATTAGACTATTTCAAATTAATCTTTCATATCATTCAAATTTAGATTATTTTAATTTTAAATTAATTTAGATTTGAGTTGTTTTGAATTCGAGTTAGATAAGGTTGTCTTATTAATCTTTTTATTAAATTAAATTAGATCAGATTTAAATTTGGATGATTTGGACAAAATTTTTAGATTAAGATCAACTTTGACAACTTTACACAAGTAACCCAAAATCATGCATACCAAAAAAAATATATAGAAAACGTGCAAGGTCATTAATTTCTACGGTAAGTGAGAAAGGAGAGAGCATGAGACACGTTTATATTGATTCTAACTTCCCCAAAAATCAAAGCTGGAAAGCTTGACCTCGAAGACGACTCGGAGAGAGTCGTGACTCTCCGTGGTTACTTGGCCATACCCCCACAATGATGATCATGAGCCACTTTCTTGATTTGATAGTCTTACATGACTCTACTGCTCCAACTAGCCGGAAAGTT